ACGGTTATAGCATCCGTATAAATACCTCCACAACTGCAGATTACTGCTCTTTACAGCGAAGCAAGATACTAGCGAAGGCACGCCCAGACCCATGATAACGTCCACCACAATATGGGGTTTCCCAAAATTAAGGTACAGTGGTTATTATAGGGATATATAGGGGGTTATATAGGGATAGTGGAAAAGAAAATGGAAACTACTATAATTGGGTTATATAGGGTGATATAACTGCATCCACAACAAGTGAACCCATGCCGGCACTGATAATGACGTTCACGTCCGCCACATCCACCACCACCAAAACATTGCTACACACAGCACGTTCCGATCAGTGGAGCAAATACGCAAATGGGGGGCCGGCGGGGGGGGGGAGGGGGGCGTCGCAAAAGTAGGTAAAGCAGTGGCTCCAAGCTAGGTTTAGGGTTTAGAGCTCCGGGTTTAGGGTGCCAAATAGACCGTTATTCTAATCATGTTGGGGGTCGATGTGGAGGCAGCCTGCATTTGGAGAAAACACCACCTTGAGGGTTCAAGCTACTGAATACTCATGTACTTCCTCAGCACCTATACTATTAGAGTTTAGGGTTTAGGTGGTAAGTGGGGGGAATAAGTAAGGAAAATATTATGTAGGCATTATATGGGGGGTCATATTCCCTTATTCCCTACCAACCACCAGTAAGTAGTAAAATTGCCCAACTCCCGAGTGCACAATTTTTTTGTACATTGACCCGTGCAAAGAATCCTGGCGCTTCTTGTCCAGGGCATCTTGCATGTTCGCCCGGACCTCTCTTTTTGTAAAAAGCGGCAAACCCTAAGGGTCCATGTGCCCAATAATTGGGTACTTAGGGTTTAGGTAATAGTAACTGTAGTACACGTTTCGGGTAAGTATATGATTATTAGGTACTTGGACCCTATACCCCAATCCTTATATACCCCTATATATCCCTATGTATCCCCTTTAAAGGGACCTAAGTTAATATGATTTTTTGGGTACTTGGACCCTTAAACCCTAAACCCTAAACCCTAAACCCTAAATCCTTAGGGAAAGGGTTCAGAGTCTGGGGCAGCATGTTTGAGGCAAAGGCTTTTTGCTCTTCGCTTTAGGATGGGTAGGCTGAATGCTAAACCTTAGGGTTTAGGGTTTAGGGTTTGGGGTTTCGGGTTTAGGATAAGTTTTGGGGGGTGCGAAGCACCAGAGGTACAGTAGCACTATAAGAAAGTATTGGGCAACTTTCAGACATTTACGTTAGACACAAGGATCCGGGTGCTCAAACAAGGAGTACCCAAAATAAAGGAGAATTGCAGCGGGGATACACGAAATATGCATTCCCAGTGCAGCCCCCAAAAGGCGTGATGTACTCTTACACCCAATACATAGTCTTCCACCCTTGGACCCTCCCTACCCTGAGGAGCTGGACAGATGGAAATTTCTGAAAATCGTGGGCCGCAGTCTGCGCTACCCACAACAAGAACCCTGCTGTATTGGGGGTATAGAGAGGCACTGTTGTTGGAAAAATAACGTCGGATCTTGCGAACTGGTCTCACTCTTACGCCAACCCAGGACTATCTAGAAGTCTGAGCACCCTTGATTACTGTGTGGTCAACGTCTACTTAGAGATTCATGAGCTAGTAACTACATATATCTGGGCTTATAACCTACTGACAGGCCACTTAACTGGACTGCGATAGGCTATATCTAAGTCGTAAAAGCCAAAAATCATCAGCAGTAGTTGCTAAGACGCACGAATTTCCAACACTAACAGGTTCAGGTACACCCTAACTCCGAGCCCTAGACTCTACACCCCAGACTCTAAACTCTAAACCCTAAACTCTAAACCCCTAAACTCTGAACCCTTAACTAACTCTAAGGGTCCAAGTACCCAATAATCATATACTTATCAAAAACCTGTACTACAATTACTATTACCAAAGCCCTAAGTACCCAATTATTGGGTACATGGACCCTTAGGGTAACAAACCCTAAACCCTAAACCCCAAACCCTACACCCTAAACCCTAAACCCTTAAACTCTAAACCCTAAGCTCTAAACCCTAAACTCTGAACCCTTAACTAACAAACCCTAAACAATAAACCCTAAACTCTGAACCCTTAACTAACAAAACCTAAACCCTAAACCCTAAACCCTAAAACCCTAAACCCTAAACCTTTGCGAAGCTCCGCCTCCGCAATTGCGGCTGCTGTCTCTGCCCGCGCGGCCTGCGACTGTGGCGGAAGAGTGATGTAGGGTCTGGTTGAGGGGTTTAGGGTTCAGGGGTGTAAAGGTTTAGGGTTTAGGGCTTAGGGTTTAGGGTTTAAGGGTTTAGATTGGGTACTGCCCTCACCCAGTAACAGTCTATATTCGGGGTCCTATTAAGGGCTATATATAACCATAGTATAATGATCCAACTGTTACTGAGGGGGGGCAGTACCCAAGGTTTAGGGTTCAGGGGTGTAACGGTCTAGGGGTTTAGGGGCTTAGGGTTTTGTGGTTAGGCATTAGGGGTTTAGGGTTTGGAGGTTTTAGGGCTTCGGCCCTCAGTCCTTATAGCCCCCGGTTATCTACCTGTATGGGGGTCCTAATACGGTATTATCTGAGTAGTGTTCTTTTGGTTCGAACCTAGTAAGATTATATTTCTATATAAAAAACTTACCAAAAAGGATGATATAATCTTACTCTGCATTCGGTACCATAGTATCCCCAAATAAAATACTAATCCCTTCCCGCAAATATTCAATCACCACGCATATTAAATACTGCTTTCAGGGGCCTAAAAATCCAGAAGAGCGATTTTGAAAGGGCAATACTATTTCAAAGGGGCCACCTAACAATGCATTAGGGGGGTTGGGAATCATGCATTATTCATTCACTTGGATAATTAGCTAAATAATCTCAATTGACCAAATATTTATTTCTCAATTCATGTAATGAATTGATTGACTTACGTCATTAAGTGTCCATTTGCTATGAAATGTTTAAGCAGATGTTAGGGGCGGCCCTATCTACTTGTTTCATTGCGGCGGGGGGAACCCTAACACCTAGACCATAAACCCTTAAACCCTAAACCTTCCGGGGGGGGAGGGGGGGGGGGTTCATATTGGGGAGAGCGATTACTCATATGGCCTAATTTGCTAGTCGGGCCATGAATAGGGGGTTTAGCGAGAAGCCACGGTTTTAGGGTTGGGCTTTAGGGTGTGGAGTAGCTTTGAGCTTCAGGGTCTAGGGTTCTTGAGTTCTGGGCGTCGGTGCAAGAGTTCTTAGGATAACGGGAGAATCCTTCATTGAACCCTAAACCCTTTACCCTAAACTGTGTTTTTTGAATTAGGGTTGTGGGCTCAGGCTTCGTGGCAAGTGCCTTTAAAGTTTGGCCCTAGTTGGATTGGTTCCTCAGTTGCAATATGGGCTATAGTCTAAACTCCTTCAGGCGAGGGTGACATAGGGGATCATATAGGGTTTAGGGTTTAGGGTCTAACCTCCTCAGAGGGGGTTACATAGGCGGTTGTATGGGGAAGTATTGTATGGGTTACTACGAGGGGCACTAGGAGTTTACACTTTGTAGCTCATATGGGCGGTAGGTAATTGGGCTTCCGGGTGTAGACGTGTTTTACGGCGTGTGGCGTCTGTTGTCACGCTGTAGTCAAGCGATGCAGCCCAGGGAGACACCGCAGGGACTAAGGGTTTAGGGCCTTGGTCAGTTTGAGCTTATTTGGAGTACATGAGGCATAGATCCAGCACCGATCCACCATAATGCACACCTAGACCCTATGAATGGTGCGCAACCCTTTAGACCCTCAGCCCCAATGCCTATAGTCCCCCTTAAGCAGATAGAATATGGGGTATATATGGGGATCTTTTTATAATACCCAAAGCCATATTGTATGTATTTCAGGGGGACTATGAACACACGAGTCTCCTCAACCCAGAACTCGCTCTCTTTTCTTCGGGATCTTAAGCAAGCTCGACGTCGGCTTCCCGCGCCAGGCGGCAGGTAAAGTCCCACTGCTGGTTCCTGGGCTCCAGGTTAGGGTTACAAGTGTTTGGCGGCCTAAAACGGATTAGGGTTTAGGGTTTGTGGGGTTTAGGGTGTTTAGGGTTTAGGGGGTTTAGGGTTTATGGGGTTCAGGGTCAGGGGGCATGGCAAGTAGTGGACAAGAGTAAACCCCGCTGCTCACTGGTTTACGAATGGGAAGGGCGCAATAATGAATCAGGGGGTAGGACTGAGTAATTAGTACAGGACGTAATACCAATAGGACAAGTAGTAGGAGATCTATTAGAACTGGGCTATTCTTTGGCACAGAGATTTACTATTGCCTCCCCTTGACTATTGCCGATCGACCTCGATTATGGGTTTTCGGACTCCGAACTTGTTAGGAAGCAAAAGCAATCCTCCTTGCCTAAACCCTATAAACCCTAAGACTATTGACCCTAAACCAAACACCCTAAACCCCAAACCCTAAACCCTAAACCCCTAAACCCTAAGCCCTAAACTGCAACCTGAACCCTAAACTCCGAAACCTCGGCCCTTACACCGTAAACCCTAGCACCCAAACCCTAAACGCTCTAAAGTCTAAACCCTAAACCCTAATGCGAACTCTAGAGCCTAAGCCCCACAACCGTCCCTAAACCCCAAACAAAATCTCTAAAGCATCAACCCTAAGCCCTAAAACCCTAAACCCTTAAACCCTTAATCCCTAGACCCTAAACCCTAAATCCCCAAAGCCTAAACCCTATAGACCCTAAAACCCTAAATCCCCAAAGCCTAAACCCTAAACCCTAAATCCCTAACTCCTAACCCCTAACCTAAACCCAGTCTGGTCACTTGGAAAGCACAAGGAAGTCGTCGCATCGGCTCTTGACACCTCAGAGATGGTCGATACACAAGTACGATTACGATTACTATTACTATAATTATTACGATTATTTGTATTACTATTACTATTATTATTATTATGCTTATTATTATTACTATTACTATTATCTTTATTATACTTGTCATTATTACTATTACTATTGTTATTGTTCTTATTTGTATTACTATTTCTATTATTATTGTAGTATTACTATTACTATTAGTACTATTACTATGACTGATACTAGTACTATAATTATTACTAGTATAATTATTACTATTACTATAATTATTACTATTACTATTACTATTATTACCATTATTAATATTACTATTATTATTACTATTACTATTTTTAGTACTATTACTATAATTATTACTATTACTATTAGTATTACTATTACTATTACTATTATTGTTATTACTATAATTACTATTATTACTATTACTATTACTATTACTATTACTATTACGCCAACCCCATGGGTGTAGGGTTTAGGGCGTAGGGTTTCGGGCTTTAGGGGTTTAGGACGTAGGGTTTAGGGTTTAGGGTGTAGGGGTTAGGGTTTAGGATTCAGGGTTTAAGGTCTGGGGTTTGGGAACAGAAGTAGAATGGCGACGAGTCAAAAGGAAAGGAGAACGGAAAACAAAACAGAAATTGTTCTCTGAGGCGATTGGAACCTACCCAAAACCCTACACCCTAATGCCCCAATTAGAACAAGGTTTGCGGATCTTGTGCGGTGAAGCTACATAAGGCCTATGAATTATTAGTGTTTTAGGGCGCGTGGGGAGTGGAGATCCTTATAATCACTCCTATAATCCCACATATACCTCTCCCATGGTCCTAAACCGTAAACCCTATGTTCACGCCCCCCCCCCCACTCCCACGTAAGCACCAGTAGTATGAAGGAAGACAATGTTGCTAGTTCTTCCCTAGAAAGCCTAGGGTTTAGGGTTTAGGGTTTAGGATCAGAAAGCCTAGTTACCCATGATAATGGGCTACTTTAACCGAAAGTGGTAGGGAATTAAAGGAAAGTTGCTTATAATTATGGGTAACTGGCTTTCTAGGTCAGGCTTACACCGTACTCCGCTCCTTAGGATTTAGGTTTTAGGGTTTAGGGGTAATATCAAATATTCGCATTGTGGTATACTATAACAACATGTTGGGAATGTCTACTATTAGGAGGGTGGGGGTTATTCATATATAGCGCCCCTTAAGAGGACAGAATATGGCTTTGGGTATATTATAATAAGATCCCCATATACCCCATATTCTATCTACGTAAGGGGAACTATCTATATCTATATATATATATAAATGCTACCCCCCTTCAGGAACCTAGGTTTGGAGGCAATAAACTAGTATTGCAACATAGCAAAGTCAAATGGTGTAACATATCAGTGTTC